AACTACTACAACATCGGAAACAACAACGACGGAAACTACCACATCATCGGAAACGACAACAACGGAAACTACTACAACAACGGATACTACTACAACATCGGAAACGACAACAACAGAAACTACGACAACATCGGATACGACAACAACGGAAACTACTACAACATCAGACACTACTACAACATCGGAAACGACAACATCTACCACGACAACAACGGAAACTACTACAACATCAGAAACGACAACAACTGATACCACAACAACGATGGATACAACTACAACAACGACGGTTACCACCATAACAACAGAAACAACCATGATTGTTGATACAGTCACTCGGGTATATACATATATATATATATATATATATATTCACAGATGTCCATATCCTTTTTTTTGTTCAGGCGTCAATAGTCGCCCCAGTAGTCGGAGGTGTTCTTGGTGGCGTTGCTCTAGCAAGCATGATCCCTGTTATATTGTACGCTCTGAGAAAGTTGAGCATCGGGTTAGTATATGATAATTTATTGAATGATTGAACTATTCTCTTTAGGCAGGGACACTTTGTCGAGCACATACCACACAATCATAATTGTGAAGCATCGATATTTTAGACCTATAGTTAACTCTGCATCATCTCTCAGTAATAACTTACAAAGGAGGAGTTTCTGACAATGCGTAAGATCAATAGTGGAGTGTGACCTTCATCTCGATGAGTTTTGGATGTCTATATTTCTTGTAAGAACATGGAATTTGGTTCTTTGTCCTTCTTTTTGAAAAGACGTAGCTTGATTTAAAAGCAGATATCTTCATCTAGGTTTTCGTTATATTCTAAAACATTTTCTGAGAAAAGAAAGCAATAAGAGGATCGCCCATGAGACGATCACCCAAGACAAAATAAGCGAAGAATTACAGATTTTGATACTGAATACTTAATCCAAAGGATATTGAATGTTAGTTGTAGAACGAAGGTTATAGTCCGTTTCAACGAAATCCTCTGGTGATTTACTACTTGCACTCCTTTTTGGTGTACTACAACCGTTTGAAAAAAGCTTGCTTCTGTTGTAGTCAAGTATTTGAACAAGAAAGCTTGATTGATACTCCTAGTACCTGATAACAATTGATGAAGCATCGGACATTAAACGAAACTAATTGCATAGAAATCTAGTGAACTGAATGTAATTATATTATTAGAACTTAAACAAGCGTCGCCGATGTTAAGTAAGCCATGATCTACAAATTCTAACAAATGTTCTTTCGCATTGGTACACTTCCTGTCAGTATATATTTCTGCTTAAGAGTTAGACCATGTAAGCCAGACTCAACTGTGCTCAATCAGAGATCCCAAATGTTTAGTTCTATAGTGCAATAGCCCTCGGTCTCGTAGTGCTTGATAAGAAAGTTCGAATGCACACTTAATAAAAATGTGCCGGTTGTATGTGTCGTGAATTTTTGTGTTGTGCTCTCTATGACAAAAACGTGTTGTAGATTTTTCGCGTGCTGTCAGTCGACTAGTCGTTCACCGTTTTGCAATGAGCGTACAGCGACATATAAGCAACATCGTTAAACGCATGGAAGATAAGTTCTCGAAATAAAAAATTTTTAATTTAATTCTTGATTACTTTATAATCAAGGAATTGTCATCCCGATCCATGATCCGGGAAGGACTACACTGGATAGTCTGATAGGAATCGGACCAATTCTAAATCAGCCACATCTTAGGATCTATCAGATTGAATATTCAAAAAAAAGAGATATATGTAATTAAATTGAAAGAATATCGAAATATACTTTTCAAAAACAACCAATGAAAATGTGTCGGATGTGTCGTGAAAAATGCGTCGTGGTCTTGTTGGGCAGAATGTGTCGCAACGAGTACCTCATATCGTATTTGAGTGTGTCGTGCTTTGTGTCGTAGTTTACGACACATTCGACACATGTTTATTTTGTGTGTGCCATCCCATCCCGATTTTGGAAGGGAATCTATCAGAAAAACGATCGTTCTATTGTTTGCTGAGAAATGGTTTGAAGAATCCTACGAAAATCGTTCGAAAAGTGAATAGAACTGCATAAAAAGATCTTTAATATTTAAAATATTGTGTGATTACAAAACGCATCTGGAGATTCAAAATCCTGATAAAAAAACGAAAATATCGATTTCTAACCGATGCATCAAGACGAGTTTACGAAAAAAAACAAGTTTTGGTTTTCCGATATAGCCAGTTTTTTTGACGTACCTGTTTTTGTCATCAGGCTAATATTGTGGTTATTTCCTAATCTTATGATATCTCGATTAGGGGTGGCACTTTATCTTTACTTTACTCTTTCAAAGTTAAGTAAAGATAAAGTGCCACCCCTAATCTCGATCAAGAATCCCGCAAAACAGTGTGCCAATTACATAGGAGGTTAACAACAACGCTAGAATGCTGTTTCGATGTGTTAGAGGTAAAAGATTCGGAGGAACACATTCTAAGTTGTTACTTTAAGATATCGATTAACTATGTACCTAAATGCCAGTGTTTCCATTGTGCATGGCAATCAAAGTTAAAGTCATTGAACATAATAATTAAATGTCATTTATTCGGTTTTGGAGTTGAATTAAGCTCATATCATTACGATTCGAGTTCGAAGATGAAAAAGTCTGTGTCAACCATCTGTACTACATGTCCTGCTTCATACATTTCTGTTTTACTTTCCCAATTCTTTTCGTCATACTCATAAATTTTCTTTATTGCTCTCGATTTTATTCGTCTTCTTTTAAAAGAAAGGGTTCCATCGATGCTTAAAATGTTCAGCAGATGGGAATAAATCTGAAATTTTGTCGATTTAGTATGGAATCAAATTTTTTTAAAGAATAAACTTAAGAAACACGTCGGAGCGAACTGCATATCGTATGTAGTAGATAAGTAATTGCTCTTTACAGCATATGTATTACAAAATTATCTAATGATTCAATCTTATTTTATGGTTATTCCGTTAGATTCTCAGAAACTCTTTCATAAGTGTTAAAAACCAAATTGATGGTCAATTTTAAGGTTGAACAGTATGCAACTGGTATAACTACTTGATTTCAAGCGATAATATATCACTAAAAATTTGCAATAAAGCACTTTTTCTATTCCCAAACGGTTAACTATTTATGAAATAAAATATCTCACCATATATTCTTAATTTAGAAAAATTGGTCCTAATTCAGGCACACCTAAACCAGAAACACCTAAACCAGAAACACCACGAGACAACAATGTGGTATGTTGAAAGAGAAAAAAACGAGATTTAAAAAACACTCACTGTTTGTGTTCTTGTAGAGAGTGGAAGATGTTGAAACAATACCAGATGCAAATTCGAATGCTCCGGTACTCGATGCGTCGAGTTCTGGTAAGACCACTAGCCAAATGCAAGTTGGTTTTAAAATATATAACATACATAAAATTCGATGAAACTATTTTTCATTGGATTTGAATTGTTTTTCCTTTCACTTTGTTTGTTCCTTTTCTCCCTTTCACACTTTTTATTCCTTTGGTCATAGTAGTGAATCCTGAAGGTATCAACTGCTTGTTTTTCCTATTTCACAATAAATTGATTCTTACACTTCATGATACTCTCGAAATATTATATACGTAGAATGGGTATGGGTGTGAAGAAGCTGCCATGACCGATTTTGATCTCGCTTCAGGATATGTTCAGATAGCTTTATCTATTCAAGTTTCAAACAATTAAAAGTAATTTTCATCGACATTGAAAGTCGATTCACTTGGGCCCAGGCTGACAGAATATAATGACAAGTAACGCTCGACTGTACTTAAAGATTACATGATAGTGATCTATCGATATGTTCTACTACTATATGATAATAAAATATACAGCTTGTATTTACTACTGTATAATTTTAATTATTTCTTCATCATAGAAAAGTAATATGATTCGAAAATCAATTCACTGGGCTCTAGACTGACAGAACCCACACATCCAAAAATATAAACAGGAGATTAAGTCGTCTATTTGTTGCACAAGTCCTGAAATATTCAAAAATATGGCTGAAGAAGCGAGTGCGAGAGAAGAAAACTAGAGGATGAATAAGTGAAAGTGGGGTAATGGTGAGAAAAAAATGAAAAATTTCCAAGAATATGACGAGAAAAATGCATCCAAAGATAACACAAAAGACAGTTACAAAGCAGTGTCCGAACCATGACTCTGATTCTAACTGTATGTGGAGAGCTCTCAGATTCCCAACCAGTAGAAGGCAATCTTGACAAAGCTCGTCAGGATTTGGGTGTCGGTGCACTCGAAACAAAACAAAAAAGGTAATTTCATGGAACTCTCCAAAAAGGTTTCGTAGTTGTCTGAAAACTTCCAAATGTGTTCAACGGCTTGAAAAAACGATTGTTCGAATCTACGAAAACTTTAAAGAATCTGATATCGTGGGCACACAGTCCGAACTATCTCCTACGAAACTTTTTGTAAGTTCCATACAGCGAAAAAGGATTTTGTAAGAAAATACAAAGCCTTTATAGTTTCGCATTATGGTTTGGTATAAAATCGAAAGGTTCTCTTTGAAACTATAGAAGTTTCGTATTTTCTTACGAAACTCACAAAAAATTTCGTAGGAGATGACTTGGACCGGGTCCTCGTGATCAGATCATTTTAAGGTGTCTTAGATCTTAACAATCTGTTTTCAAGACTTTGAACGCATCTCGAAGCTTTTAGAAATCTAAGAAACCGTTTTGGAGTTTTCGGTAAAGTAACCTTTCTCGTTTAGAGTGTGACGGTGTAGGAGATTTTCTTTCAGCAATACCCACACCCAGACCCATCTCGCATCAATGAGTGGTAATTTATATTTTTTTTAAATGAGAGATGTACTTAATTTAAAAGAATTGAGAAGCATCTAAATCTTTTCATATAATACTATTGTGTTGGTTTATTTTTAATATCAATTCTAATAATTTAAAATAAAGCAAAGATAATTCAATTATTTGATGAATATACGGTGATTTAAATTTAAAACTAAACTAAAAAATAATGTGAAAAAAAATTAGTTTCTATTCCATACAAATATCTTTTTAATTTTATAGTTAAATTAATGTTTTGAAAACCCAACTAATTAATCGCACTTGCTTATAAATCAAAATATATTTTTCAAAAAAATTATAAAATCTTCTTCATTTATTTTTATTAAATTTTATCTAAACTAATCGCGTTTAGTTTAAAAAAATATTTATTGATACATAAACTTGAAAAATTTGGAGGAAAAATTATGTTAGATAGCATCTTTGAATGATCACGAGTGTGCAGAATATGACTTCTCGATCATATGGTTCAATGGTTCTGGCGATGGCTAAGTGTTACATTGTATACATGTTTGAATCTAATATTGATCTTTACATATTTCAATTCAGACTAGTCCAGATTCATCCACTATATAAGGATATAGTTGGTTGTATACTCGTCCCAGACTACCTTAACTTTTTATTCACGAACCATTTTCGGACGAGCGACAGGGACAACCGTCGCGGCTACTCTAATTAGATTTTGTTACTAGTCGGCAATCAGAGTACTAGGACGCGTATGCATGACGGTCAAAAACTTGGACTAGTCGTGGACAAGTAGAATTCGAGACAACGACTAGACGGGACCAGTCGACTTGACTAGAGAAAAAGACCAGTCATTTAACCAGTCTTTTGCTCACTTGGGTAGTCTTCAATTAAAAGTGGCTTCACATTCGAGTACCTTACTTAGAATGGGCAGAAAAGACAGAAGGTAAAAACATCGAAAATGACAACGTTGAATGGAAAAGGTATAATTAACAACAGTGTCGAAGAAAAGCTGTCGGAGAAAAAAAGTAGAAAAATTTTGAAAAGGAAAACTCAGAATGAAAAAGTTGCCTATAGATAACGAAATTTTTTTCTTTTGATTTGGTATTTGTTGTTAGTGGGATAAGTAAAATTCGTCGTCCTCCTCGTCTATAGTCTATACTAGTTCATTGTTAGCGTATACTATGTATATAAATCAGTCTGGCGAAAACAACTAACAAATAATTTTCTCTTCAATCGTCGACAATGGCCAGTACAATATAATTCTGAACGACAAATAAAGGTAAATCCTTACTAGTGTTTAACCAATATATGTTCAAATGCAATAAAACGTCCTTATCAAAAACATTTTGGGCTTGCACTGAACATGGATACGACGTATATGCACACACCAATTTAGAAAATGAATTTTTATTGATTACTTGTGATCATAACCATGTGATAAATCCGAATACGTTAGAAATAAAAGCAATTAAAGACAAAATGAAAAATCGCATTTTAAATGAAACAACGTCGATTACGAAAATTTATGATGAAGAAATCGCAAAAGCGCATTTTTCTGATGAAGGAGCTGCAGAACTTCCAATAGTCATTGAATACCGTGTGTATCTCAAAATAATTAAATCTAACTATATGCCGATATTAGTGTTTTTGCTCTATTAGAATCAAACATGAGCAAAGCTAGACGAAAGAAGACATCGGTGGTTACAGCATCTTGTATTTTTGAAATACTGACAATATATCAAGAAACATTAAAACAAGAGCGATTTTTGTTAATGGATTGTTTTTCCTAAAGCGAGGCACCGATCGTGTCATCGTACATGCAACTGACCAACAATTGCAATTATTACTTGATAGTGAAATGATTTTCGTTGATGGCACTTTTAGTACCGCCTCCAATGGTTTTGATCCAGTTTTTTTGATGCATGCTCAATTATTTGGTCAAGGTATGAGAGTTGCATTTAATATTGATATGGTAAAATGATGAATTTAGTTTTTTAACGAAAAGGTTTGCCAGTTGCATATTGTTTGTTAACGAATCGATGAACAACTACATACATCGAATTATTTCAGCGATTTAAACAAGAAGCAACACTATTTGGTAAACAATTTCAACCGACACACGTTGCATCTGATTTTGAATCAGCAATTATGTCAGCAGTTCGACGCGTAGTAAGTTTACTTTCTTTTTTTATTGTTTAGATACTACTAGTGGTCGGTACTTCTCAATCTTTTAGTTTCCAGCTGCTAAGCATTCAAACTGCTTATTCCATTTCACGCAATGCATCCATCGCAAAATAATGAGCTTAGGCTTAGGTGCTGATTACGCTCAAGTTGCAACGATACATCAACAATGCAAGGAATTAATGGGTCTAAGCTTAATGCCGATTTGTGAAGTAGAACAATAATTCAAACGTATTCGAGAAATATCATCTTCATCGTTAGATGATTTATTTGAATATTTTTGAACGTCAATGGATAAAAAGTAGTGTTCCTCTATCAATGTGGAATTCGAACGATGTTGATCATCGAACCAGTAACATGTCGGAAGGTAATGAAATAAAATGTTTACGAATTAAAATGAGATTCTTTTTAAATGCATGCATGTTAATTCTAGCGTACAACCGTAGATTTTCAACAAGAATAAGCAAATAAAATCCAAACTTATGAACGTTCATAAAGTTGATTCAAAGTGAAAATGATCGACTTGAACATATAATAGCTCAACTAAGTGGTGGTGCCTCATCTTCAAAACAATCAACGAACACGACAGGATTTCAAAAATGATTTGAAACGCTTAAAAAATGATTCAACGATAATGAAATCAATGCAAAGCAATTATTGAAGGGATTAGTATTACTACTTGGATCACGCAAAAAAAGAAAACAATACTGATAAACTTAGTTTTCTTGTTTTTTATTATATGTTATCATATGATCGAATAAATTTTTATTTTTCGTTAAAATTATCAAAACACGAAATTTTCGACATTTACTTTTCGACTTTTAAAATTTCTGCATTTTCCCTTCTATGTTTTCTCTTTCTGCCTTTTCCACCAACCCCCCTTACATTATGAGGTACAGAATCCGTTGCTGAAGAACAGAGGGGTTTTTGTGAACAAGAATTCAAGTTTAGATCTCCTTTTTGTCAAGCCAAATCATTTATAATCAAAAATTTTAAATTATTCCGTTGCTGCTTCACAAAGCCCAGCTTTGGAGAGAAGTCTTTTCTATTAGTCATAATAATTTGTCTGCGTATTACACCCACACAACTCTGATCACTCATTTTTGTCTTCCAATTTTCTTTCCTGCGTTTGCCCGTATTTAATTGCACACGTAAGATGCTTATTCTCTCTCATTTTCTTCATTCTCAGTTCTGCATGCAGAAAAAAGCATTTGTCAATACATTTCATTTAGCGCACAAACACTTTCGGAGTAAAGCGAAGCATATAGCACTCACATTCAACATAACCACGTGCGCTGAAAAAATATTCTACTCATGGATTATTTTTCTTTTAGATCAATATATTTCGAATAGGCGCTGATACAACATATCAACCATGGGCAATATATTATTTCAACAGCGATCACCTAGAGAACTCGCTGTGCTCATGAACACTACTGACTACAAGGAGAAAGGTATGGAAATGTTTTTCATAGTCAATCTCTAATTTTTACCCATGTGCTTATTTGACAAAAGATTAAAAGATAGTCAGGTGAAAACTATTGAAAAAAAACGTTATTTAATACTTGAATATGTTGAAAATTGAAGGCAAACGTAAATAGGCAGTTTCGTATGCAGCCATGTTTCACTCATTTTTTTTGTTGTCCTTGTGATATAATATGTGACTGTTCATACTCACGAATAAATTCATTTGTCCATTTTTGAAAACACGAAACCTACTATAAATGTGAAGATAAAGGTTTACGAAAAGCTGTCCGATTCATGAGTATTTTTAATACTTAACAATTAATAGATAGTCGAGCATTAGTTATGATACGTCCTTTTCAAAAAGAGAAACTAGTTGTTGCGAACCAAACGAATACTTCAGCGTCTTAAGAAACTGTATTTCTTTATATTAGACAACGAATTGTTCGATGACATGTAAAAATTAAGTGGATTAAAGGGCATCGCATAGTATTTTTTTTCAGTTTTAAAAACCGACAGTTTTTGTAGGAAATTCTAAATGATATTTTAGTTGAAATCTTTCCTATCAAATTATTTTATTTTTCTGATATCTTCTTCCAACAAAAATTGATTAATTAGAATATCATTCTATTTCGATTCTTTATCCATTTAAGTATCTCTCATTCATTTTGCAACTCAGATTCGACATATAATTACCATTTTATTATGCTGCTATTTAAGAAAACATAGCATTGAATCACTTCGCCATCTTTTCATATCTCTCTTCCAGAAAAAAAATAGGCTAAAATATTTTGTTAACTGTCATCGCTTCAATTATTTTAAATTGTTACTAATAGAAATCTTAGCTTTCTGCTATATAGTGAAATGATTACTACGATAAATGAGATCTATATATGATACCTGTACGTATAGGCAGATATACGCAAACCCAAGTGAGCAAAAAAATAGGAAGGTCGGGCGACATGACTAGTCCGAAAAGTCTGTTGTACCCGTCAAGTCTAGTCTAATACGTCTTTCATATCTATTGTGACTAGTCCGAATGTCCTTTTACCCGTCTAGACTAGTCCCAGATATTCCAGAGCATCGTTCTGACTAGTCCGTTTGTCCTTTTACCCATCTAGACTGGTCTGTCTATTCATTTACCCCCATCTGGACTAGTCCATAGCAGGGGAAAATATTGTAAACAAGGGAGAAGAAAGTTGGATTCGAACATTAGAAACACTTAAAATACTATTAAAAATCAGACTGGCGTCTTGACGGCAGTCCATAATACAGTAAGCCTTATGTCAATGTATATATTCTAAAACGCAAATGGGTGTCTTTCATACACTATGCGTGCAGAAAGCACTTGATGAAAACTGAATCTCACTACCCGAAAACGCCTTTAATGGTAGTTAGAAGGACTGTTCCTAGGCTAGTCTAAACTGTTGTATGTTCGTAAAGAGTATTCTATTTTTTAAGTACACCGTCAGTCCGAATTCTGAAGTATCTAAATATTAGAAGGAAAAAAATTGTTGAATAAAATGCCCTGCTGAATTGCTAAATTAATGACAAAAATATAAGTTAAATAGCCAGAGTTTTCAATTAATTTTATTCAATTTCGTCTGAATAATTTTTGAATTTATAAAAAAATATTTTTTATTCATATGAAAAATTGAATAAAACTTAGAAAAAATTCGTATTTTAAAGCATCTTAGAATGACTAGAAATACTGATAAATTGGTATCTCGATCAAATGGCTCAATGGTCTGAACGATGGGTAAGTAATCGTTGGTATGTTTGTTCGAATCTAGTTGTAGTCATAAAATATTTCAGTTTAGGCTAGTCAGGATCCCGTCATTATATAAGACCACAACTAGTCATATAAAACGCCGTGGACGCTCTTACTTCTATTTAGAATCATATTTTTGACGGGCGTCAGGATGTTACAGCGTGTCTAGACTTTTTTCGAAAAAGACTACGCATGAAAAATAGAATGACTCTAGTCACTTTCATAGTCTTGACGTGCATTATGGGCTAAACGGGATTTCGGACTAGTCATGTACTAGGACTTTTTGAGAAAAAAACTAGACTGGACGTCCTGTCATGACTAAATATGCGACTACTCTTTTTACGTGTCCTTTGCTCACCTGGGAATACAGATGCAGTTCGTGTACTCCTCCTGCATTGCATATATTGAGGAGAACATATATCTAGTCGAGGATGAGGACAAAAACACAAAAAAAATATTTTTATGACGAGCACATTATACAATTCAAAAACATGAATTAATGTTTTCAGTCATTTCATCACTCTATAGATTGTTCATTTTAGAACTTTTCATTCGCTATGTGAGAACGTAGAAAATTGCATGAGACCATCAATTCTATCAGTTCTGGACATTTTGAAGGCAAACATGATGAAACATGGCATCCGTATTAAAGTAGCCCTATCTATCGCATTATTTTAATGTCATAAGAATATTGACTATTAAAATATACTATCATATACAACTGTTATTTAAAGATTACAACGAACTTTGAACAATATTGAAAGATTTGAGAACATTTTCAAAAGTCTTTTAGAATGAAACGCTTTCTCATCTAATATTGAAGTTGTAAAAGTTGTTCAATGTAAAGCGTTTTTGCGCTGAAAAGTATAATCCAAAAGAAGGGTATTTAAATGATTAAAAGCATTGTAGTTTTCCTTTGTTTCAAGTCGAGAACTCGATTAGACGACAAAACCTAGGAAAGAAAACATCGAGAATACTGAAAATCGGAAGATTGAAGAGAAAAATATTGAAATTGAAGAATATAATTAACACCAGGGTGGCCAGATCTTCTGAAAAGTATGGAAAGTTTCTGAATTTTGAACATGTTTCTGGTTTTTTCTGATCTTCTGATTTTTTTTTGAATTTGGAATATTTCAGATCGCGGCTTTGTCACTGAAATTAGGTACGATTATAACCCACTACTATAATAAATCAATAGTGATTGATGAATTTTCTCTATTAATCATATTTTATATTCGTCGTTCGAATTCTGAAATTGAATTGATTTTCGGTCATATGTTAAGGATTTATAGTTCTATTATCGTAATCCGATAAAACAAAAGTGAATGGTAATTATTCTCGAGAAGGTTTTTATAAGCATATGTTATCTTAAACAAACTTCCTAGAGCAAAGTCCAAAAGATACGAAATATGAATAAAAATACCGAGATGATGGAATTTAACGTTTTTTTCTTATTGGATTTCTTAATCTACGCAGAATGCATGTGTTTTAGTTTTGCTCGTTTTTGTGAACGAGTTTTAAATTTAAAAAGAAGCTCAACATTTAGTGCCTTTTATTGATGTTTGCGTATTAGCTAAACGATATATTCACTATAGCTTCTTTCGTTTTATTAAAATATCTTTGAAAATAAAGTTTCAGTCAGTGAACAGAAATGCAGCAGAATTTTAGATGCCAGTATTTTAGCGGAAGATGTACTAATTTGCCAAAAACTGCCATTTTCTGATAAATTTCTGATTTTTCAGAGAAAGTTTCTAATTGTTTCTGATTTTGAAAAAATATTTTCTGATTTATCAATTTTTGATCTGGCCACCCTGATTAACACATCGAGTTTGATTCTTTGGTGACCTTATTTTTGAAAGCTTCCCAAAAAAGTAGTTATTTATTTTTTAGTTCTTCGCTAAGAGTTAAATCATATTCTTTATCTTCGCTATTGAATTGTCGTCCTTTTTCCAGGTGCCTTATTCTTACATACAATATGAGAATGAAAAACTAAAAACTTACTTCATTACATAAAATAGCTTTAAAATGCTGCACTGAAAAATTTCTGGAGTGCACATTTCATCTTTAAATGTTTCGATATTTAACGTCATCGATGTTATAACTTTTTGATTTTTTTAAAATTCTTTTCCTTCAAGATTTTGCTCTTCGTCATTATAATTTTTGATGTTTCGTAACGTTCGTGAGATTTTAGTCACAAAAATCGCTCAGAGCACAACGTTTCTCCACTGCAGAGTCTTTTAAAACAAACTACAAAACGTTTTTGCTTCTGGGTGCGGATTTGTTTTTGTCCAAAATACTGCTTCTATCTGTCATGCATTTTATTCAGAAATCGATCAATGAAATAAGATAAACTGATACATGATTTTCAAACAACAAAATAATTGAGTAAATTGTGCAATATTTAAGTATAAGTTTAAGATTTGAAACGCTTCAACTGAGAACATAATTACTACTGCATGTTAAAATAAATCTAAGGATGTGTTGAAGAAAAATAAGAAAGTGAGAAGTAATTTGTAGACTACTGAAGATGGTCTGAACAGCAGTGGTCGTTTTAGTCATAAAAAGTGACTATTTCTACTAAAACATAAGAACCTTCTAGCAGTATCGGATTCAACAATAAAGTACTTTGTTCGTAAGATGTATATATATCTAACACTCGTCGATGCCACTTTCTGTGATTAGATGGGATGGTATAAATAGAGTTCGTTTTGAAATCTTACTGTTTCAATATAGAGAACACATATTTATTTCAGTTTTCTCTTACTTCATTGATTTAGCGACAATTATACATAAGTTGGCAGCCCACCGAAGTAACGGTCCTAAGAGTGTGAGTGTGGGCGGACCAAACAACAAGAATCACCCACACCCAAACCCACACCCAATTAGAAATATAAGACTATATGACATATCTGTCTCGCTATTGAATATAATTTAGGTAGCCGATTTGTTTATATTTAGTTTCTGATGGAGACAAAGTTTCAAATGATTTAACAGTGAGTCAGTGTGAACAACAGCGCCACGTTATAAAATATGTTCTTGAAAAGTTGGAAAACTATGCACATAAATCGGATCTCTGGTATTTAATTCATGCTTCACATCTTCGTCGCAAACTTCTTCGTAGATCTGCACGCGTTTCAAAGCAATATTCAATATCCGAAGACCTTGTTCGCAAGTGTATTCATCAAATATTTGTTGATGTCGATCAATATGTAACGCAACTTCATCAATTGATATGTGAACAAAAATCTGATACTTTGATAGTACTCTTGGATAACATAAATAAAAAGAATACTGCATGGTATAGTATGCAAATAGAACGTGCAAGACGCATATTTCCAACTCAACAACACTTGGAAGACAATGAATTGTTGGAAAATTATTATATTTATATTCGAGAAAGATTAACACCTAAGCAAAAGTTATCGAATGCAACAGAACAAAAACAAGCTTGTCCAAACTTTTCCGATTTGAATATAGAATATCAGAAGGCAAATAATACAGGAAAAGAATATCTAAAGCATGTTATACAAAACTTTCGAGAAAGGACAATACCTGATCTAAGAATTATTGATGAGATGGTCAATTTAGGTAAGAAAATGTATTGTACTTTCACGATTTATATAATGATGTCTTATGGATTATTTTATAGGAATAGCTGATATGAAGACGTTCCCATCAAAAGAAGATTTTGAAACCAGCAATAGCTTTCTAGGAAAAGTATTGATTTTCCATCGCATCAAAGAAGCATATAAAACTACCCTACAAAATACCAGCGACGACTTCATGCTGCTTCGTTTTGGAAAAAGTTTTGGTTATAATGCATCGAAAAACATACATCAAATTAACAAACAATTTTCCTACCTTCTACATTCATTTCTCAAGTCAATAGTGATTTTGTTTGCTTGTCTAACAGCAGGTTCCAACGATAGTATCATATCTGTAATATCAAAAATTGACTCTCTTTGCTTATTCGATTACGATTCTTCAGTGATGAAAATGAATATTGATCTATTTTCTCCAGAATCAAACATTGATCAATGGACATGGCTGCTAGAAAGATGGCACGATACCTTAAGAACTATGCCCATACTACTCACACGAGCTGGTGCTTTCAGTCGTGTTGTTCGTACAACTATTGGTATCGGTCTTGTGCATCTTGGCAAATGCGCTGAAATGATGGTTACAACTGAGTGTACATCGATGAGTACTGAACTTTTGAATGAACAATTATTTCATGCTCTTCAAACAGGCTTCTACTTTGGTGTTGCTTATGGTATAGTCGATTGTCTACAAGTTGAAAAACACATTTTGGATAACGTGCCATTGGATCAGTTTCTTATTTTTGACAATAAAAACAGTCAGACATTAACATCGTCTAAAACCATTGATAAATGTCTTAGTCGTATGGAACAGTTATTGAGTGGTACTGATTTTGATAGAAGTCAACTACCTGATAATCCTTTTGCATCAATGCTTTTTGAATCTTTTGATAATCTTTTGATACTGACAAAATCGAACAATACAATGCATGAGTCTTTCAACGAATTGGCTCTTCTCTTACGTTCATAACGAGCTGACACAAAAGAAATAGATCAACATTATGGTAACGAACAACTATATCTAGGTTCTGTTCTCAAGTCACATTTTACTTATACATGCACCACTTATCTTGGTAATATGAGCACAGCACGTGAGGCAAATGATCAACTTTGGATTATGCCATTTTTGGGACAGCTGACAGACGATTGTCGAGATTTCAATGATGACATAACATCAAATTCAGTCACTCCATTTACATATTATGCATCATTAGTGCAACGTAAAGATCCGCTCGCTAATAGTTTACTCAATCCATTCTATACATTTCTCAATCATTGCTCAGATATATATTTGTCAAGTCATCGAGATAGTCAAACGGGTGCATTTCTTGGCCGCCGTATTGCTCGTACGTTGCGATCAGTTAAGATCACTGGTGAAGAAAGATCATTTGTTCAATTTCTTAATATTTTCTGTGCAGACAACCGAACTTTGCACAATTACTTTAACAATAAATTGCTTAAGCAATTTCCATTTGTTAGTGATCCTGAAAAAACTTTCTTCAGACTATTAGATGTTTCGAGTGTAAAATACGCGCGAACAAACCGAAAACTAGAAACATACGCATTTGAAAACTTAATAAAAATCGAGGATGCATTAAATATTTTTCCTGTACATACTCAAGATGATTCCATCCTAGAGGAAACTCTATTAATGTCAGCAATGAATTATAGTGTGCAAATTGGTGGTAAACGTTTGAGACCACTACTGATGTTTATGGTTGCTGACTTATATGAAATTGAATTAAATCGAATATTACCATTAGCACGTGGTATCGAATACCTACACACATCATCACTGATTTTCGATGATCTACCCGCTAGAGATAACAGTGATTTACGACGAGGTCAAGCAGCTCTTCATAAAACGACAATTAATAACGACATATCATACAATTTATGCGAAGGCCGAGCTCAATTGGCTGCTGTTGATCTCATTGCAATTAGTATGGGTCTAATTAATGGTGGTCTTATAAGAAATGGTTTTTCATTTGAATCCGTTAATCGAGTTGTTGGTGAAATTTCTTTATTAATGCATGATCTTTGTATAGGACAAATGATGGATTTACGTGCGGCACGTGTTGGTATTGAAGAAGACAGTAAAAAGATTGATAAACTTGATCGTATTGCATGGTTTAAGACGGGAAAGACCATTGAGGTAGTCATGATCTTGCCAGTTCTTCTTGCTAAATCACCATCAGATGAGCAAGCTCTCGAATTATCGCGTATCCGAAAATTAAGCCAGCTTATGGGAATTATGTTTCAAATGCGAGATGATTTATTAGATGTTGAAGAAGGTGCTGCTATCGGGAAACCAGCAGCACTCGACATAAAAAAGAATACAGTTACATATGTCTCATTAATCGGTATCGATGGCACTCGTGAACGTCTTCAACAGTTCTTAGCGCAATCATTACAACTAGTGGATGAATGCTGGCCAAAAGGGTCGGCAACAATCAAAGACGTTATTCAATATTTTGTAACACGTAAAACTTGACTTTATTTTTTGATAGGACATTTTGTTTAATTAAACACTGATCTGTTATTTCAATACAATTTGTCAGGCGCTATATTCGATTCGAATTGAAAAGTTTTGTGAATAATTTAAAGTTTTTACTGTAAATACAATTTTATCGTATATACTTTTGTATGATAAAAGATTCAGAGAAAATATTATGAATGTGATTTTGTGTGAGTATTTGCAACAAAGAACAATTAGAAACATATTTTGGGAAAAGAATTCTTGTCTTACATACAAAGAAAAAGCTTTTAGCGCAATCCCTGTGGGATTAAAATGCGAAACACGATGGAACTCCTTTACTGGAAACTGTCTACCATGGTCTGTGAGTCTTTGTAGCTTTTCTCCCACTGTTTATAGTCAGATATGCAGCCTTTCAGTCGTGGTCTGTATTTTGATCTATGGAGTCCATAGAGACCATCACATACCGTGACAGAGAATTCACAAACCAGCACAGACGGGGACAGAAAAATTAGAAACCATCACAGATCGGGACAGAGAAATTAAATAATTAACTTATTAATTAATCTATCAGTTAATTAATTATTTTCTCTGTCCCTGTCTGAGGGGGTTGTCCAAATTTCTACCCTATATACTTCAAAACTCCTTTCAGATCGTGTTTCGCAAAATAATTTGTACACTCTAAAAAAAATAGGTTTTGCACGAAACCTCCAAAAAAGGTTCCGTAGGTTTGAAAAAGATTGCAAATGAGTCAAAACGTCCAAAAAATAAGTTTTCAATTCTACCGAACCTTTAAAGGTTCTTCCCGCCGATACACGGGAAGAACCTTTTTCTGAAAAACCTTTTTTTTTCGTTACGAAACTTAAAAAGGTTCCGAATTAAAAACTCAAAACCTTTAGAGCTTCGTATCGAACCATCAGATGGTTTGATAATAAACTCCACGAAAATATGGTTTTGTACGGAACCTTTGATGGTTTGATACAAAGCTCTAAAGGTTTTGAGTTTTTAATTCGGAACCTTTTTAAGTNGAACCTTTAAAGGTTCGGTAGAATTGAAAACTTATTTTTTGGACGTTTTGACTCATTTGCAATCTTTTTCAAACCTACGGAACCTTTTTTGGAGGTTTCGTGCAAAACCTATTTTTTTTAGAGTGTAGATATACTGGATACGGTTGGAGAAAATAAGCTGATATTTTTATCAATAATCCAGATCTATTCGAGTTCTATATCTAAAAAGGTATGTCTAGAAAGATTCTCAGTTAAAAATATTATTCTATTTTCTATTTGTGAAACCGTAAAAATTTGGGTGAGGGTGTGGATCTGAGTCTGGATCTGGATATCGGTATCGGTTGGTTATAAATCTTCACGTCATTCACACCCACGCCCTTGCTTCACATTTTGCCAGTCTAAAAATTACTTGCCAAAAGATTATTTTCTTCTTATTATTAGCATGAATGCTTCTCATAATTGAGATGCTTGTGTCGATAAGTAAAACAATAGGACTTATTCAGGTGAAATATAAGCTCTCATCACCAATCCAAGAAGGTTGGCATGTTAGGAGCTCTTTGTTTGGCAATCAGGGTTTTCATTTCACCTGAATGTATCCTATCTTTTTGCTGATCAATAGAAATACGTCCATAGTTAGCACTGACACCGGTAAAAGATATTTTATAAAAGAATAACATAAGAAAATTTCGTTGAGATAGTGGAAATTTTTACATTGATAATCTGAATTGATTGTCATTTGATCATGAATATTTGTTGCTGGTTACATTGTAAGTCTTCTCCAAGTATTGATAAATAGTAATAACTGAGACACACAATAAAAAGTTTGTCATTCAATTTTTGCTTACTATTCCTCCTCTAAAATAATCGTGATAATACGTCGAATTCCTTGATGAAATAGTTTTGATTTTCGTAGAAGTGATTTATTTCATCAACATTCTGTTCAAAATGTGCATGTTCTCAGCTCGAAATGTATCGAAGAAACGTTGCGCAACTTCCTATGTAGGTATTGTCTTCTATCTAGTTTTGTTGATATCGTTTTGTATTGTGGTGAATAGCCCATGTCGGTTAATACACGACGCCATTACTTGGTATGCCACCTATTCAGCAGTAGATAATAAAAAAACAGGTAAATATAACTTTTTCATGTGCACTACAAAAATATTGATAAGAGAAATATCAGCATGGTTAACTAAATTCATCTGAAAACATTGATTTTAGAGAAGTCTCTTGAAAAGCTTGATTTAGGAATTGATAGCCTGCAACAAATGTTGCTCATTATTGTCCTTTTGCTATATTTCCTAGGCTGATCTTTATAACTAATAAAAAGCAACGTTTGCTTTTTTCGTAGACATTACACTATTCTTACAATATTATTATCAATGTCTGAAATCTTTGCTTAAAAGAAGTGTTTTGATCGCATTTACATCTGGCCTATATGATGGTCAGTCTGATAAATATAGTATATTTTTTAATAAATTCTCGTTAATTTTTTTTGGGAAGCAAAACATCAGAACAGTCAGTATAAAAATAAATGAGATGAGAAAAATGCACACTATTTTTCCAATTATATGTAATTTTTTGTTTATCTTTGCTGTTTTCTCAATACTAGTACTTGGCCAGCATGGGTCACATTTATTGCGATTGCTTCAGGAAGATAAAATGGCTCACCATCCATATGTACAGGCATCGATCGAATTAACTCTATTCGAACTTCACTGCATTGAGCGATACGGCGGCCACGAAATCCGGCATGAATTAAGGCCATCTGTATTGAGTCTGGTCCGAACACTTCAATTTTTTGATCACTAATGTCTTGTCTTCGGGTTAAATTCACAGCAGATGATCTTGCCTGATCGTTCTCGTCATGCACATAATCCGATGGAAACATGTTGCCTGATGTGTCTCGACTAGTTTGATCAAATCTATCACTTTGGCTTTGCCTATTAGATGTTTTTAGAGCTTTGCTTGATAATCTTCTGCTCCAAGGATGAGTGCCTGAACCATAGCTTGGAATATTTAATAGAACAATAGTATGGCAATGACGTATTGAATCGGTTAAATCATTGCCATCGCAAATCAATCTCATATATGGTCTTAAGTCCCATGCTCTCCATAATGCAAACTCTCTAAAATATGTTCGACTAACGTTCAGATAAATTAGTTTATTTTTGAATGGTGAAGTAAATCTAGATGGATCACGGATTCGCTGGTCATGAAAATCAAGTACAACAGCTGCATCTAGTCCAAAACTTAAGTAATTTGTAAAGCGAACATTGAGAGGAGCTGGATGATTTTGATAAGATAGTCAATTTGTTTTATCAACGAATTTCGGATGATCCAATAGGGAGCAGAAACATCCACATGTATTTCTGACTCTTTCAATAGTATCTCTTATTGTTAACGGTTCGAGAGTGATTTGCCAATGGTCCAATGGTATTGGTTGCGCATCGGACACTTGTTGCAGCAAAGTTAGTAACTGTTTTGCACTGTAACACTTACTCCAACCCAAGACACGGGACAAATCGTTGCCTGTACCTAATGGACAGATACTTACTGGTGGATTATTTAATGACGAGCATGTGTCGGCTAAAACATTTAATACCCATCCAACAGATCCGTCACCACCACAGATAGAAATCCGAGTGTTACGTAAAGATGAATAAATGCTTAGAGCTTGTTTAATATTGTCATTGTTTTCAAGAAGAAAAATTTGACGTGGATTTAATAGCCGAATAAGTCGACGATAGATGCTCTCACCTTTTCGACCACCTGAGATTTTATTTATGAAGACTATCAAAGGTGTCACTGATGTATTGCTCTCATCAACATCGTCAAGAAATCGAGCACAAATTCGTACTGGAGAGCTACTAAAACGCTGTAACCATTGTGGATGAACAATAATGTTTCTTCGAAAATCGATCAAAAAGAATTTTAAACCTATTGGATAATTAGACTCACTTGAACTTTCCGTAATCACATTTGTACTGTTTATTACCATCGCTAATGTTTTCCCAACACTGTTTATGACAATTTTTGAAACACCACAAACATTGAAGACTATTGGAAGTCTTCAGAAAATCTTTATTTGAGCATTTCAATATGTTGACTGTCTTTGCATTGATGTGTGACGCAGAAGTCGAGATTCTAGTATTATCATTAGTTACCATTCGTGAGATAGTTTTTCGCTTGCATAACACACATGGTTTCATGAGTAGGACTATAACAGTTCGCAGTTCAGCTCAGTTCAGTTCAGACGAACTGTTTTTAACAGTGCAGTTCAGTTAAGAGGAATTTTGAACTGCTCCTCTGAACTGAACCGAACTGTTTGAACAGTTCAGTTCAGTTCAAACGAACTGTTCGAACAGTTCTTTTGAACTGAACTATTTCCGAACTGTTATAGTCCTATTCATGAGTTTCGAAATTGATGACCAGTAATGATGATCGTGTTCGATGTGATTGTCTTCTGTAGCCATGTCAAAAAATGATGGACGACAGGGTGGTATGTAATTATGAATAGTAGCTGCATTTTCTACATTAATGATATGATCTATGTGAATAACTATTATGCACGAACCGCATTCAACACATGTTTCCGTATTCATTATCTCGGGGATGGTACATGATAGGTAGGCACACTGGGAAGCCGGTAAAGAAGTTTTAGAGCAGTAAGAAAGCCAACAATGTGAAGTAGGACAAGCTCGATCACTCCAATCAACACCCAATTGTAAAGCAGGTTCTAACTTCATCACTGATGAAGACATTGCGAGTCGACTGTCAATCAAGGAAGAAGAGACATGTAAACCAAGTAATATCTTTGATTTAGACAAAAGATAGTTATATTTTGACGTATGAATGTTTGGAAATAAATTCTACAAGGCCTTATAATAGCAAAAACCTATTTTAAAACCCCTGTTCCTACAGCAGATTAATGTAATATCCATGAAGGTGTGCAAGACATTAGTTTTCTTTGCAATTATTAGAATTACAATACTTTTCAGTAAATATCCTTACGAATGGATTTAGAAAATAGCATATAAGATATGTGATCTTCGCAATATAGCTTCATTTTTTTTCAGGGTACTGAGTCAGTGCTTGTAGCAAGCTACATTATACCTATTATTGGAATAGGCCGTTGAACATACATGTAAACGATTGTTTAATGAGTTTGCTATTGTTACTCGCGCATTCGCCATAGTTTTTCTCTCAGATTAGTTTCGTGCTTGCTTCCATTCAAATATTCATGAAACAGCAAGCTATCGTCGTTTTATATACGTTCAAGTTTAACAAAATCACAATATTCAGGCAAGATTCTTCTGCACAGAAAAGAAGCAAGATGCTTGCCTGTTACTCAAGAAAAACACAATCTTGTCTGATTGCTCAGATAAATAAGAATCAGGCAAGAATGGCAAGATATTCAAGAAAAACAAGAATCTGGACAGATAGAAGTCAAGATCGTCGACTAGTGTGAGTGGCTTAAGAGCGTGTCGATAACGCGATACTGGTTCGAATCCAGTAGGATATATATTTTTTGTTCTGTTCTGAACGTTGTTTTACCATTCAATTTTGTCAAAATGTTTTTGGCATGTGGTTAGAGGGATCCTCTCGAGATCTCAACGGGGACGGGGGTTACTGAACACGCTGAATCCGAATATACTATTTTTTATTCACCGACAGCATACCGTTCAAAACCACTCCAGGGTGATATGTAGTTTTTTCTATCGGAAAACAGCTATTACCATGAAATTAAGATGCCCTATTGAGTTTAGTGGGAAAAGTTCTAAACAAAGAAGATTCAATGCTCAATTGCACTATGAAAATGTCAATGTCGAACTTTGCTCTTAACCTGGTATAGTATACATGTAAAAACTTCCGTAAAATTTTAGTGAAAACTTTTTTCAAAATAAAAATAAAAGCAATCGTCTAGAAATGCCTAGAAAATGTCTAGTCGACTACAGTTTTTCTTCAAAGAATAACTAATTGTTAATTCAACTATTACTTTCAGCTGTCTTTGGGCCATTAAATTTAATTACAATATTAAAATGATAGCATTGATCGGTCATTTATGATATTTGCCGATGTTCTATGATGCTAGCACAACAAACTCTCGAAATAAAATCCGACGTATGTTGTTCTAAATTATTATTGTAGTATAGACAATAGTCTCTGGTTTTTCTTTTTTCTCAATGGGTGTTGTTTAGAGTAAATCGAGCGAAATCAAGAGAGTTGAATTAAAATTACACTCACGATGGTTTTGTAAAAAATGTATATAAAGTCTACAAAAAGTAGAAAAAGCAATAATAATAGAGAAGATCGAAGAAAGACCATCAGAGAGGAAGCATAAAACCAATAAAAAAGCATCGATAATTTGTCGTCATAGATTGACATCTATCGATTTATATGATTTATTAGTTGCTTGATGCATATTCAAATCAATCAAAAAAATGGAAGTTATATAAATCTGTCATTCTAAACATTTTTAGATTCTTTATTAAGTTAATGAGGCTACACGATTCAAGTTGTTGCGGAAGTGTCTCTTTTTCTTTTATTACCTATCACATGATACACTGCTTAGAATGTTTTTTTTCACAGTGCAATAAATCTAGCATAAGACTTGAAGGTGTGGATGGATGTTGATGTGAAAGTGTGAGTCTTTTTGCTCAGGCACCCAAATACACACCCACCCATACGAAGACACTCTTCACGTAAGCTTCCATAAAAGAGCTTGATTTATCTAGATCTTAGAGATATATTAACCTAATAATGCAACCATACTAACCGTGGAAAGTTGTCTATTGAGTTTACAGAAATTCTATGTTTTGAAGTGCCCATACAAAATGTGAGTAAGAATAATGGTTTTTATCTGTAAGCTTTGTTGGATGTAAATAATGATTATACATGTTCTTCTAGAATAAAAAAGAAGCAGAGAACAGCATATTTGTTCGTTGTCATCGGCTTATTTTACGTGTGCATAGTGCTTTTACTCATTGCATGGCATGCAAGGATGAAGTTTATGTTTTTTCACGTCACACATGGAACGCAGTGCTTTTATGTGCGTATGCAAGAAACCTTTCACTCTTGGATGTTAAAGAAGAAGAAAAAGTTCGCTTTTTACACTTCCACAAATTAATGGTCGTCGAAAGCATATACGGTGCATGCACAGAAAAACTCGAGCTAAATTTTTTATTTGCTTTTTCTTCATGTCATTGGATAGAGAATTTTGCGACAAACACGAGTATGTGGTCCTTCATTTTTTTTATGCCTCCTTAAACTCCAAAAATCACAAAATACACAGGTTTTTCAAAAATCCTATTTTTTAGATTTTTTTCGTAAAATTGACTTTTCAGGATCTTTCGTTGATCGAATTAGCTTCAAAAGGATATATTCTGATTCAGTTCTTCAAGCTGAACAAGAATATATCTTCCGCATCATTTTTAACTTTCCTGTTTATCCACCAAGGTCTCCAGGAACCATTATTTTTGATACTGCCAGAACTAGTTTTCGTAAAATTTTTCAGTATTTTCCTGATAACTCAGGGTCGATTTCTTTACAAAATTACACGGGTAGATTTTTGAAATTTTTTCTCCGTATGCAAAAAAGTGGGTTTTACAAAAACTTTGCTAAAAGTTGAAAAGTTTTTTTAGCAGCTATCTCAAATTCTCACATACGGGAACTAAGACATTACTAAAATGATTATCTACCATGGAGAGTCTCCAAAGTGTTTCAGCAGGATTTTCAGAGACCTATAAGAATGGGCGTGGATTTGTGTTTGAATGTGTAGGTGGCCCGAGTGACTATCTGGGTATCTGGGATGTGGGTTTGGGTATCGATTAGACTATGGCGGAATGAACAACATGCACACACCTTCATCCTCAATCAACGGATTTCATCGGATTTTGGGTTCTGGATCGAGATTCAGAATCCGATGCATATCCGACCGTATCCTACTCTGAGATCCGATACGCCTAAAAACGTCTGATATAGTCAACCTCTAAAAAGCTCTTTTGCACTAAATAGAATGTTGATATTTGTTTTTATTTCTCCCGTCGGATCCGTCAATAATCCCGAGACCCAGAATTCAATTGAACTTCCTCGGTTAGTAGGATGTTATAGGACCCGGTAGAATTCGTCATCGGATTAGTCGACTTAAGGGCACATGGTCACAAAATCAGTGTGGAGAATACGTTAATGTATAGAGAGTCAGATATTGTAAGAGAACATAAGACAATGATGAAAGAAAGAACACGCAAAAATGAAGAAAAAAAACGAGAAGAGCATTCCATGTAAATGATTTCCTCTATTATTACTGCCAGGCACACTACCCTAAAAACATTTTGTGTCAAAACTTTCTTATTGTAATCATAGTTGAATGTAAATCAGATAGCATAGAATGATAGAGCTAAAGACGCTCTAATGATTGGTAAAAAAGAGAAATATTTTAAATCTTTTTTTAAGGAAGACAATAAGTTCTGGCAATACTTTTGGGCTGCCCTAAGTAGTTCTATACTCTATTATCATCTGACTGTGTTCAGAGCATTGTATATTGGTGAGAATAATTTAGGCTTACTAATAAATCTCTGCAAACATTTGGACAAAAAGCTACCGTTTTTTATAAGTTTTTTACTTTAAAACATCACGTAAAATTTACAATCATAATGAATTTTCACATTGTATAATGATCTGGTCAGCATCACATCGTGGTGTCATTCGATATAAATAGCAGCTGTATATGAAATTCATAAGATGTCTTTTATGACAGTGCAATTTTCTAAATGTTAGAAAATGAATACTATTTGTGCCACTTCTCAACAAAAGTATTCTCAGAAAAATTATGTAAAAATAGTTATTTTAATCCGAAATAGGCAAGTATTATTAAAGTTATCGAATAGAATTATAATTAACTCAGCTATATAAGTAATGACGGAATCATGACAAACTTATGATCGGTCTACATTGCGTTTATTATTTCATTTTAGATCGAAATAATAACGTAATGGTATTCAAAAGTATCATCCGTTACATAATCAACAGGTATCTCAAAAACTATATTGAAGAATTAGACGATGAAAAGTTGAATTTTGACTTAATCCATGGTTAGATTTGTTTTATTTACTTGATAATGATTTAAATCATAATTCTCTGTAGAAAATGTTACCTTGGAAAATCTTCGTTTAAAACCTGAAGCATTGGTATGTAATATTTTTCTCTCAGCTACGATACATAATATTTTTATCTCACACAGTCTGATCTTAATCTTCCTGTAGCAGTGGCTGCCGGTTGTGTAGGTTAGCTTTTCTTTCATTTTTTCTATCATATCGAAATTAAAAGTTTTGTTCACGCTCAATAGAAAAATTAGTATTAACTATCCCATGGATGAATCTTCATTCAAATCCAACAAAGATACATATCAATGGACTTTACATATTGGTTGTGCCAAAAAATGGTGAATTGTTTTTCTTTATCACTTTACAAATTTGTTTTAATCAAAAGATTTCACAACGAATTCGATGAGCATTACACTGAAAGAAATATTGCTCTGTTTATTAAGCTGTCATTCTAATGATATAAAAGTAATAAAAACTAGACTAATTTTTCATTTGTCGTAGTAAAAAATCAAGAACTAAAGTAGATATTTATCATAAAAAAATTCAATTAAAAGTTTTCGTAGTATAGATGATTATTACTATGAAAAGATTCGTAAATTAGTTGCCTGGCGTTGATTTAGCATTTTGATGGTGAGAGTAAATAGTTGAAAATAGAGAATAGAACGATTTTTTTATAGAAATATATTGTTCAAAATGTCAAATTTATTTATAAATGATTTATATGTGCATACAAGCAAATATATATTTTCAGTATAGGTTTAAATCTGCAAAATCTTGTTTCTTCTTTTATTAAATTCATTCAATCCATGACTAAGCGAGCAATACATATCTGCATTAGAATTGATCCCTTCGGAACAAAAATAATTAAAGCATACTCAAACTTTATTTAATGAGTAACAACATTGAATGAAATCATGAGATATTCACAGTAGTATAGTTACGAATAAGATAGAAGAGAAAATCAAAACAGCGTTCACATTTCACTTTAATATTCCCTAGACTGTAAGGATAGGGTCTAGAAATCGTAATTCACCTGTGTCCGTCTCTCTGTAACAACTTTGGCACAAACAGCCATTTCTGTGGCACATATTATTGGCGAATTTACTGAAGGGGCCGACGGAGTAGCCACTTGTAATTATGGAGCAAGTGAGTGGGCAAGCGGATTTACGATAAAGAATTTTAACTCCATCATCACTAAATATCTAAAACCTGTGATCGACTAGTTAGGTGAAAATTCGTTTCTTCCCCTGTCAAAGATATTTATGCTCCTCTGATAAGCATTGCCAAAATTGCCTTCTACTGGTTGGGAACGTGACACGACATTACCGCGCAACAGTGATCGTGGGAGCAAAAGTTGAGGGTGAGCTCGAAAGCACAAGTGAGGGGACTAGTGAGGGTGAGAGTTATAATGAGGACTTTGCGAGAAAATATTATGCATGAATCTGTATTGCGCGGTAATGTCGCGCGCGCTAATGTCGTGGAACCATTTCGTTATCCGAGCTTTATATTTTGATGGCTATGATTCCTGAGCAATAACTGAGTAAACATATTCAAATTTTTATTTAACATTAATAGAATCTGATCAAGATTTGACTGAACACCATGCCAATAAAATGAGAAGAGTACTCCAAAAAGTTCAAAATCTAAGAAGAATTATGTTAGGTAAGTTAAATAATATCGAAAAATCAACTCACTCTATTATGATTATTTAAAGAACGTTAGAAAATAAAAAGTTAGATGAGAAAGAAATGACATTTTTTGAACGCAAGAGATTACAAATAATGCAAAATATTGAGCTTATTGTCGAAAATTTACATATATCTTATGAAACCAATTCAACAACCAAACTCGGACATCCATTTTCATTTGGCATCACAATTCATTCTATTAAACTAAATGTAATAAGAGCACCTTTATTATATTTGCTTTTAAAGAAAACAATGTTTTTCAATTTAGACTGATAATGATCGTAAAACGAGAAATAAAAACAAAGATAAAACATCGATTATTTATATCGTATATATATATATTTGAATAATTTTGTCTATTTCAGCAATACACGACTGTTTGTTTTTTCTTTTAGTTAAAAGAGCTTAATTCATTATCTATTTATTGGAATGTAAAATGTACATCGAGAATCAATATGCCATTCAATACTGTTATAGTAAGCTTTTAATAGTTAAAAAGTAAATTATAGTATCTATTAGCAAGTTTTCTCTCGAAAAAAAGATTAAAGAAACTACACAAGTATTAGACTGATTTGCTTCAATGCACGTGAAGATAATATAAGTAAACTTTTTTCAGCAATTAAACTAGTTAAGTTTTAACGATGAATGTTAATATCACATCAAACCCAACAACCAAAGGGAATAATTTTAAAGCTAAAAATTTATATGGAGGCTAAGGATATAAGCTAAATAAATCGTTTCTATTTGCATTATTTACCATATTTATAAAAATAAGGTATTGCAAATTGTTTTAAATTTAAATTTGATCATAGTTTTTGTATCAGCGTAGATTTTTATGATTTTTTCTTTAAATTTACTTTAGGATGATTTAAAATCTAAAATAGCAACGGCATCCTGTAGAGCAAAACATTTTGATATGAATTACAGTCTGTTGAAAAAAATTTAAATGATGCAAGTTACGTATTTTTTTTTCTAGTTTTATATCCCACTAATATGGATGTTAATATGATTATTATAATAACTGATGGTGAACATAATTTTGATCGATCAACATTTAATATAGACATTAAAATACGACAATTAGCACTTAATATTGATTCAACACAATTTTCAGATTTATCTGATTTTGCCAAATTTCAAAATTACTCAACACTTTACGGTTTTATTTTGTGTTTCGATATTTGAATCTTATTTATCCTTTTGCTTATCTAATATAGACCGATGTCGTGAATATCGACAATTATATTTACAAGAGTCAACTGATAATACGCTATTGAATCAAGAACAAAAAGAGCGTCTCAAAGTAAATAAAATTAGCTTTTGTTGGTTTTCACTTAGTTGTAAGATTAGTTAATGTCGAGTTTGATTGTATAATATGTATAGTACAAATTTGTCTTTTTCATGGGACTTTTCATTATTATTTAAAATCTTAAAAGAATTTAATTACTTTTTTCTTGGCTTTTGATAAACTATTATGCATCTTTTGGATCATTGTCATGCATAAATGTAAAATTATTCCTAAGTCCTAGTTACTGCATCGATGGTAACAGATTCTCCTCCACTATCTTTTGATAATAAAATCGGTCTATCTTATGATTGAGAATGCACAGTTTTTCTTGTTAAAGTATGATTTTTTTCATGACTGATTACACTGTTTCTCGATTCAACAGCATCTTCTTCTCTATGTCTCGCTAAGAATCACGATTTAAGGAATGCTTAACTACAAGCGTTTACAGCTCATCATCGTGTTCTTTCTTCTTTCACATCATGATGAAAAATTAGTTGTCTCAGAAACGATGCACATTTATTTATATTGGAATATGATACCATTTAGCTATTTTTTTTCGAATAGATTCTTGAGTCAAAATTATATGCATTCAACTTGGCTTATATTCGTCATAGTGTAGAAATAGAGGTATAGTTGAATATTAATCTGCTTTTTTGAAACGAATAAGTGCTTTTCTTTCTCTTCTTTCATACAAACAGATTGAACATCGTTCGATGAATGGATCACCACATGAAAGTATACACAAAAATAAGTATTATCGATGGAATTCATGGTGGAGAAAAAGATCAAAACTTAATAATGGTATACATTATGATTTTTGTTTTTCAGCATTAGTAAGAAGTGTTTTTATTTGAATATTCGAATCAAAATATTCTAGTATTCAATTTTGTTGTACATGTACGTATTAACACTCTTACACATATTTCAGTATGCGTATAAAAAACACAATAAATATGAAGCAGAAAAATTGTATCTTTTTCGCTATTAAAATTAAAAACTTTCTAGAACGGAATAATGCATATTGGTTGTAACCATGAGGATGTGTTAATCGTTTTTTAAGATTTAAAACGATTGTATAATGATTTGATGTATCATAAATAAATAAAGCTTCACCATTTGGTGCTAGATTAGCATTATTAAATGCATATCGTACCCAT